GCCCTCCCATTTTTTACTGACTGTCCCCTGTTTCTGCTCCTTTATTGTTAGTAACAGGAAATGAAGCTTCTTCGAAAACACTGGAAACACTTCAGCAAAGAGTTAAGCGTCAAGAAAATCTACTTCAACGTTGTAAGGAAACGATCCAGTCGCATAAGGAGCAATGTGTTCTGTTAACCAGCGAGAAAGAAGCCCTGCAAGAACAGCTTGACGAAAGACTTCAAGAGCTAGAAAAGATGAAGGTAGAAGCGCAGCTCAGCTTTGTTCTCATTCAGCCCGGCATGGGCTGCGGTCGTCAGGGAAGCCTTCCCATCCTGTGCCGGTGGGATGGGGAGGGTCCTCGGCTGAGCCCACTTGCTCTGGGCTGCCTTTCTTCATAGCACTTTCCATACTTGGGAGACTTTCTGTGCACTTCTCCCTTCTACTAGACCATAATAAGGACCGAGATTAGATAATGTTCTTAGAGTTCTCATAAGAGAAAAACACTTTCTTAGAGATGGAAATGAATTTTTAAACTTTTTTTAGGAGCTTCATATGGCTGAGAAGACTAAGCTTATCACTCAGTTGCGTGATGCAAAGAACTTAATTGAACAGCTTGAACAAGATAAGGTAAAACGAAACAAAAACCCTTACGATACTAAAGTTTGTCAAGGCGCCCCAAAATTTGCTTTGGAAAGCAGCAAGAAGCACTCAGGCTTCTGTTCTCAAAATTATTGCAGCTGCTTCCATGTTAAAAAAAAGTTTCTGTTTTAATTTTCAGTTTTATGTGACTATTAACATGAGTTTTGTATCACGTGTAGCTGATTCCCTCTTGTTGTTTTTAAAAATCTCCGATTTAGGAATGAGAATAACTGTGTACAAGAACTTCGTGTTTACAGGACATCATGACTTCTTAGAGAAAAGTTGTTTTTTTTTGCCAAGACATTGCTGAATGGGAGTGGGAGATACTCTTTAAATATAATAGAAATCGCAAACTTTCTGTCGTAATGGACATAGGTAGTCTCAGTTAAATTGCCCAACAAGGAAAGAAAAGAAAATGTGCATATTGACGTAAAAAGACATTTCTAGAAATTAGTTTTTAAGTCTTCAGATGAGATTAGAGGATCAAGGAAGATTGAGTTTTACCATTCATTGCCTGTTTAGAGTTGGAAAAATAACCACCTATCGCAGCCAAGACAGTTGGAAAAACTGAAGTGTGTTGTTTTTTGGTTTTGTTTTTTGTTTTTTAAAAATGAAGTTTTGTCCTAAGTCGTCCAGCCCCAAATTCTAAGCAGCTTCTGGTTAGTTCTACACCATCCTTCATTTCCTGTGATCTATTGTTTCTTATTGGTGTGTTGAGTGGTCATGTAACTAAGAACATACCAGTTATCTTGTTGTTAAAACCAACTATTAACAATCTCTTCATTCTGTATACTTGCTATTATTTGTTTGCTATTTAAGTGTTCTAAAAAGCCACTTTAAAAAAAATGCTTTTATTATGGAAAATTTAAAACATTGATACAAGTAGAAGAAATTAGTAAAAGGAATTCTTGTGGAGAGCTCTGGTGGCCTAGTGGCAAGAAGCTGCATTGCAATCCCAGAGGCACGTGGTTCAAATCCACCAGATGCTCTGCTGAAGAAGGAGGGACAATCTCCTCCTGTACCAGTCAGATCTGATTTGACGCTACACACACACACACACACACACACACACACACACACACACGGAATTCTTGTAAATCAATCACCCGTTTTCTTAGCCCAAGATTGTTTTATGGTAAATCCAAGAAATGTAATAATTTCTTCCATGACAACTTTAACATAAAGAGAAACCACAACATTTTCTTGATAGTATCTAAAAATGAACAGAAATGTTACCTCAATTTTCCCCCCCTTTTTTATGAATTATTGTTGTTAGTTGCCATTAAATATGACTCATACTGACCCTATGAACAAAAGATCTGAACCCTGTTCTGTCCTGCACCATCCTCATACTTCCTGACACACAGGAGCCCACTGCAGCAGTCGCTGGGTCAGTTCACCTAGTTGAGGGTCTTCCTCTCCTTTGCTGACCCTCCAACCTTCCCAGCATCATGTCCAAGGAACAGCCCCTCCTAGCAACATGCCCGAGGATGTGAGGCGAACTCTTGTCATATTTGCCTCCAAAGAACACTCTGGCTATACTCTCTCCAAGACCTATCTGTTTGTTCTCTTGGCCATCCATGGGATGTTCAGTGCTCTTCTCCAACACCACAGCTCAAAGGCATCGATTATTTTTCTGTCATCCTTATTAATTTCTTCTACCAGAGTACCAGCCAGGCCCAGCCCTTTCTAGCAGCTGAGATCAGACAAGACCAGGAGCTTGTGGGTCGTAGACCTAAGGAACTTCCTCTTATTGTAGCTGGTTGATAGGACTTTTAACACTTCTTTTCATCTGAATGGTCGACTTTGACTACTTTTTCTCTCTTCCTCTCTCTCTGTCTCTTATTCTCCTTCCCTCTTTCTCTCTTCCTCTCTTTTTTCCTCTCTCTCTCCCCCTCCCTTCCTCTCTCTCTCTCTTCTTGTCCCTCCTTCTCTCTCTCTCCCTCCCTTTGCAATTTATTTGTTGAAGACACTGATGGCCTATGGTTTTGTTTGGGGATTTTATACAGTAATGCCCTACTTTACGTTTTGTTATTTGTCTGGTGTATGGAAGATACATATGGAAGAATCAAACTTGATAGCAGAGACCAGTCAATGCTGGATTTAAGGTTATAAACCTTTTAAGGACATAAAATAATTTTCATAAAGCCTAAATATTTTTCAAAGACATATAGTATTATCCCATTTCCTTGTTATTCCTAAACGATCAATTTAATATCTTTTTAAAAATGTCGTTCCTCCCTCCCCCTCCTTGCCTTGATAGTCATTTCTAGAGCAGGTTATCTGGACAGAATGAAGGTAGGAGCACCTAGCGTGTTGGAGGCGTGGGGTACCTCCTTCCTGTTAGTGGAATAAGAGAGACAAAAGCAGGTAGATATGTACCACATTAGGCCCGTCCAGTGTGGCAGCAGCCTGACGCTCTCAGCAACCCCTGGCCGTCGCTGCGCTACAGGACTAATCGGTAATTGTAGTTATAATGGTCCTGAGCCAAGTACAAAAGATTCTATTTTAAGTAAGTATGACCAGCACTGAGGTAGGGAGGTCTGTGGTGGCCTCGTGGTAAGAAGTCGCGCTGCCAGTCCTAAGGTGCACTCCATTCGAGCCCACCAGCTGTCCTCTGTAGAAAGGATACGCAGCCTCCTCCTAGAAGAGTTAAGGCCTTTGAAAACCCTCTGGTCAACTGTAAGTTGATTCTGACTCAACAGCACACAAGAAGATAGAGACATTATAGTACATATACAGAAGAATGAGAAAATAATCTTTACCTGATATTAATCTAATATTAAAAGGTTTTAATAACGAAACTCCCTAATGTCATGCAAGTAACCAAGGTTGTGTATGGATCATACGACATTCTTTATTTCGTTTGTGAGATCATGCAGTAACTCTTCGCGTCGTACAGTGAGAAATAAGTCCTTTGAGTTCACCGTGCGCTGTCAGCGGTGCAGTCTTGTCACACAGATGCTTATGGATCTGCATTTATGCTCAGGGGATGGTAATAGCCGAGACGAAACGTCAGATGCACGAAACCCTGGAGATGAAAGAAGAGGAGATCGCCCAGCTTCGTACGCGCATCAAACAGATGACAACCCAGGGAGAGGAGTTACGGGAACAGAAAGAAAAGTTTGAGAGAGCTGGTAAGAACTCCCCAGGGCTTGCTTGTTGTATGTTGGAGTAAAACATAATTTCAAATGCTTGACCAGCAGAAAATTCTTTCTTTTAAAATGAATAGCCATCCAGACCCTTTCTCCATCACTGCCCTGTGCTGGAGGAGGTACAGGTTGGCAGGCTGCGGACAGTGGTCCCTCCAGGCTGATAGGAGGTGACCCCTAAGCTAGGAAAGATTTTTACAGTTTTAAATGATTAAAAAAGAAGATGTGACAGGCAATAATATGTGGCCTGGAAAGCCTAAAATATTTACTGTTTGGCCCTTTATAGAAAAAAATTTACTTATTCCTGCCTTAGAATATCAGAAATTTAAATTTATACTTTTGCAAGTCTCAAATGAAGGCTCTGCTTACTTATTAATTAATATTTTACAGATGCTCTGCCATAAATCAAAATCTTAAAATCTTTTTTCAGTGGGGATCCGTAAACATTTTAGTGTGTGCGCAGTGGCATAGTGATTTAGGCACAATACATTTTAAGGCGGTAAAGTGTAGAAACAAGCAAGGATCCTAGGAAAAGAGAAATACTGGAAAGAGCAGAGAGCACACTGAGCTCCGATGCCTTCATCCCACTGATGATGGGAGTCTCGTAGCAGAAAGGTGGAATGACACACGGTTCAGAAGCATCACATCAACACACAGAGACACTGTAGTTCACGGTGGATGTGTGATCACAGGAAAACCATTCTTGTGAAGTGACAAATGACACTGAATTTCAAAGGAACTGACTACTGAATGTTTATAAGGTGAGTAGCTGAGTTTAGATTTTGACGTACAAAAAGCCAGGAAGACGTAATAGGAAAACTTGGATGTCTTAGAAGCTAGTGTTTTATGTAGGAAGAAAGGAAATGTGAAGTCATTCTTGGAAGCAGATCTAGAAACTAAATATGAGATGCTGAGAGCATTAACCACTTTTGACTTGCAGAAGGAAAAGTGTAGACTCTGCAGAATTAGGTGTCTCATCAGGTTGGAGAGTAGTGGAGAAGAAATAGAAATCTAAGGTGACTCCACGGGTTTAAACGTAGGACACTAATCAATAGTGTCATTGACAGAAATGCTGAAGGTGGAATAGAAAATCTTCCTGGGGATGTTGAAGATCAGAGACTGATGAGGAATTTCCTTGGGTACCTTACGTCTGGACTGGCCTTGAGCTTTCCAGAGAGAACTCATTTGTAAGATTTTGGACATAAGAACTTGGAGAAAGTTTGTCAGTCAGTCTTGAGTTGAATCGTAGAATTTAGTTCATAAGCGATACTTGATTTCCCCGGAAGACTGGCTTTGTAGTGGTTGCTGATAATGGTGGCAGAAGCCGCAGCAGCAACTCCTAAACTGAATCACCCTCAGCCTCCGGCAGCGACAGCACAGCAGAGCGCCCAGCGCTCCCACCACCCCCTCTGTCACTCACTGTCAAGTGCATTCCCACCGACCAGCACAACTACAAGTGACTTCATGCAGAGCGCTGTGGACCTGCTGCATTTGTATTTACTGGTTTATTTACTCATATCTAATTCTAACAGTTTTTTGTGATGTTATTATCCTCCTTTTCCAAGTGAGAAAACCTGCTAAACAAAACTTAAGTAACTTGCCTACATTTATGTCAAGAGATTAAGTCAGGATTTGAACTCAGGCATTTTTTACTCCAAAGTCCGTTTTCTTATCCGTGGAGGGCGTGACTCTGGCAGAGAGAAGACAGTGAGGAGGAAAGAAGAAGTTACCAAAGACGTTATAGAAACTGTGGATAGCTCTACTTTTTTTTTTTTTAATATGTAAGCAGTGTTTCAAGAAATGGGAGAGGTACAGAGTGACAATATGAAAAATGTCTTTGAATGTGGTAAGGATTTGATTTCAAGGATGGGATTTTTTTTTTTAAGTTGCTGTCGTTTTCTCTTCTCCAAAACACAAAAGTAACATGTTTTATCTTTAAGTGAGATTTCCCCAAACCTGTATTTTCTAGAAATATTTGCTTGTCTGTATGTCAAAGAAACTTTTCTGTAAATAATACTGTTGAAATAGAAAATAGCAATACCAAAAGAGAATTAAAATTGAAGTTTCTTAATGCACATATTGCTTTAGATAGTCTTTGGACTATATAGTTGTTAAGTGGGTTCATAGATAGTTTAAAAAATTTTAACAAAGTCATGCGTATGAAAGGTATGATATAAAGTTGAAACAGACTAATTTTATATTGAACATGTTGGTGTTGATTCTGAACAGAATTGTTCAAATACAAAATGGTTCTTAAACAGTTACTCTACATAAACCAATTAAAGAAAAATTCCAGTTAAGCACTAAAAAGAAGAAAAGGCCAATGTAAAGGCAGGAGTTTCCCTAAATAGTCCTTGAACATCATCTCATTCTTGAGGAATTCAATTGCTCTATTAAATATTTGTCTTTCTCTTTATTAGATTTAAAATTCAAAGGTTAAAAACATAAGTGCTGTTTGTAAAAAGGAAACATTCACATCTTTAAGGCCTGCCGTTGTTAGGAATTTTTAAAGTAAATGTTATCCATATAGAATAATTATCAAAGAATATGAACTCTCCAAATGCATCTTAACTGTAAAAATTGAACTCTGATGTTGTTACTATTTCTTGACATGTGGATATCAGCAGACAAATGGCTTCTTCCTTTGACTTGCTTATTCTGGACACCAGAGTTGGCTCAAGTCCATTCCTCACTACTTTTTTTTGAAAACAATCTATTGCGTGTTCCTCTAGGTTTTTCTAGATGAACTGATGCCTGCCACATGTTAGAGAACAAAGCAAATCTGGTTTTATTAGGAATACTTTGACAATAAAGTGTGGAGACAGAAAGGTGACATGCCTGCTTTAGGGTGCTGTATCAAACTGTTGCAACTGAAAATGTCTCTCCTGCCTAGTGCTAATGTTAGGCATTTTTCTTAACTATAATACAATACAATAGCACTCTAATTTTGTGAAAATAATTTATTTTAGTGGCTAAAAAAAGAAATGTGTTTGTTGCAGGCACTTTGCTACAACTGTTCATCGTGTCCCTTTGTAGATGTTACTTAAGCAAGCACAGATGATCATATTTTCTAGCAACTGGATTTTGAACTTGAAGTCCAAGGCTTCAGATCTAAGTGCACAGTGCTCTATTAAGTGCTAGGTACCAAAACGAATTGCCTAGAACATTGTCCAGGCAGCACTAAAATAACGTAGTGCTGTCGCGTTGTCCCATCTCCTACCTAGCAGACTTTGTTAGCGACGCCAACTCTCAGCTCCCCACAGCACTGAAGGAGAATTAGCAAAAGCTACTGAATTTCACACTGGGTCTTGACCATCCTCTGTGTGTGGATATGTGTAGGCGTATGTTGTGGTGGTTGTGTGGTGTAGAGTCGGAACCAGCCTGTCGCTGGTCTCTGGCAGGTTTTCAGAGGCAGTTAATCCTACAGGAGGAGACTGCCAACCTTCTCCCGCCCCACTTCTCCTGAGCAGCGGCAGGTGGCCTCAAACTGCATGCGTTTGGGATTGCAGTGCATCTTCCTGCCACTAGGCCACCAGGGCTCCCTGTATATTTTAGCCAGAAAAGGGTATGGCAAGCCAAAAAAATTAGCAAATCAAGAAAATGAAAGTACAGCAGGGTTGTTGCGGTGCATTTCCATTTAGCCTTCTTCCCAAGTCCTTATTTTCACGTAGTTGCAGTCCTGTTTGTGCACACGGTTCGGTCGGGTGCCTCCCCCTCTCCTCGGGGAGCACTTTCTCATATTGCTAAAATACTAACATTTCAATGGCTGTGTCAGAGCACATGCTCATCATTTACCTCACCACTTCCCTGTTGGTCGACATCTAAACTGCTGTAGATTTTTGCTCTTAGGAATAATACTACAGTAACTTTGTGATACAGCTTCTTTCTTCCCTTTGAATTTTTTCTTTTTCCCTTCTAGTAAGTTCTTCCCAATCCTTTTGCTAGTCACCTTTAAGTTCTTTAAATGCGTAGTGGTTGGTGTTGTTTGGTGCTGCTGTGGGTTTTGTGTTGTTACTCACTGTTGCCACTGGTATGGGTACAGACGGAACCCACATCACAGTGCAGTCCAGTCCCAGCCCCGCTGAAAGGTTCTTCACTGCAGTTATGCAGTGACTAAATGGCTCTGTTTGAACTGGGCAAGTTTCCAGAATACACTAACGTATGTAAATCCTGTTTCCCTTTTATGTCCTCTGTCATTGCTGAAGGTATCTGTTTTGTGGCTGTATTGTAAAACTTAAGACTAATTCATAACATCCTTTGCTTTTTTTATTGCAATGCAGTGTTTATGCAGGAAAAAAGGTTTTTAATTCATTTGTGTAGCATAAATCTGGTAAACCAAAGACATCTTTTCAGTGGGACATATTTATTTGATGTTTGGAAGACCCTTAAAAAGAGAATTTATAGATCTAAATAGTGCGTAAGAATTAAGTGTATTTACTTAACAAAACCCAAATTATGTGTGTATTAAAGAGCTTTGTTAGTCTTTAGTTTATGGACCAGAGTTTTCTTATAGTCCTGAGTCTCACCAAGCATCTTGTTTTTGTGCGTCCACACGTGCCAATAAGTGAATCATGGTGCCTTTCCCAAGCCTTGTACGAACAGGACTGGGGTAAGGGCTGTTTTTGTTTCTGATCATGAGTATCTAGAAAATGCTTTAACCAGGAAAATTCCATGTTTCTCAGGCAATATAAAATGTGAACTAAAGTGCAATTTAAGTATGCTGTTAGATGATTATTATGTAACTATTGTAGCTCTAAATGAATATCTGCTGGGAAAATTTATTAGTTTGGATGGAAGTTTCTTTCGGTGCAGATTTTCCATAGGTCCTTGATCTATTTTGTTTTTCTATTTTTAGTGTGTTTATGTCCCCAGCATTGTCACTCTTATTGGAAAGCCTTAACAACTAGAAGAACACATTTCCTAGCTTCAGGGCTGTATTTTTTGTTTCATCTTTAACTTAGTGTTTTTCTAGATCAGCTGGTGGA